GTCAGTATGTATGTGTCACTGTATCCACCCTAATGTCTGTCTGATATATGTATGTGTCACTTTCTTATCCTATGTCTGCAGTGTGTGTATGCTGTATCCATCTAATGTCTGTCAGTATGTATGTGTCACTGTATCCATCTAATGTCTGTCAGTATGTATGTGTCACTGTATCCACCTAATGTCTGTCAGTATGTATGTGTCACTGTATCCACCTAATGTCTGTCAGTGTGTATGTGTCACTGTATCCACCTAATGTCTGTCAGTATGTATGTGTCACTGTATCCACCTAATGTCTGTCAGTGTGTATGTGTCACTGTATCCACCTAATGTCTGTCAGTATGTATGTGTCACCTTGTCCACCTAATGTACTGTCGTATGTATGTGTCACTGTATCCATCTAATGTCTGTCAGTGTGTATGTGTCTGTATCCACCTAATGTCTGTCAGTGTGTATGTGTCCTGTATCCATCTAATGTCTGTCAGTATGTATGTCACTGTATCCATCTAATGTCTGTCCCTAGTATGTATGTGTCACTGTATCACCTAATGTCTGTCAGTATGTATGTGTGCTCATATCCATCTAATGTCTGTCAGTATGTATGTCACTGTATCCATCTAATGTCTGTCAGTATGTATGTGTCACTGTATCCACCTAATGTCTGTCAGTATGTATGTGTCACTGTATCCACCCCTAATGTCTGTCAGTGTGTATGTGTCACTGTATCCACCCTAATATCAGTATGTATGTGTCACTGTATCCACCTAATGTCTGTCGAGTGTGTGTGTGTCACTGCTTATCCACCTAATGTCTGTGTCAGTGTGTATGTGTCACTGCTTATCCACTATGTCTGTCAGTGTGTATGTGTCCTGTATCCACCCTAATGTCTGTCAGTGTGTATGTGTCACTGTATCACCCCTAAATATCTGTCAGTGTGTATGTGTCACTGTATCCACCTAATGTCTGTCGATGTGTATGTGTCTGTATCCACCTGTCTCTGTCAGTGTATGTCACTGTCCACCTATGTCTGTCGGTATGTATGTACTGTATCCACCTAATGTCTGTCAGTATGTATGTGTCACTGTATCACTAATGTCTGTGTCAGTGTGTATGTGTCACTGTATCCATCTAATCTGTCAGTATGTATGTGTCTGTATCCACCTAATGTCTGTCAGTATGTATGTGTCACTGTATCCACCTAATGTCTGTCAGTGTGTATGTGTCACTGTATCCACCTAATGTCTGTCAGTGTGTATGTGTCACTGTATCCACCTAATGTCTGTCAGTGTGTATGTGTCACTGTATCCACGTAATGTCTGTCAGTGTGTATGTGTCACTGTATCCACCTAATGTCTGTCAGTGTGTATGTGTCACTGTATCCACCTAATGTCTGTCAGTATGTATGTGTCACTGTATCCATCTAATGTCTGTCAGTATGTATGTGTCACTGTATCCACCTAATGTCTGTCAGTATGTATGTGTCACTGTATCCATCTAATGTCTGTCAGTATGTATGTGTCACTGTATCCACCTAATGTCTGTCAGTATGTATGTGTCACTGTATCCACCTAATGTCTGTCAGTATGTATGTGTCACTGTATCCACCTAATGTCTGTCAGTGTGTATGTGTTATTGTTTATGTGTACCTATCTCTCTGTCTGTCTGTCTATCGTTATTTAATATGTATCTTTATCTATCTATCTATATTTCTCCCTTTCTGTCTCCTGTCTGTCTGTTGTGGTGAAGAGTGAATTAGTAGTGGTACAGGAATCTCAGGAGGAGGAGGAGGAGGAGCAAGAAGAAGAGGAGGAGGAGAAGGAAGAGAAAGAAGAGGAGGAGGAGGAGCAAGAAGAAGAGGAGGAGGAGGAGGAGAAGGAAGAGGAAGAAGAGGAGGAGGAAGAAGAGGAGGAGGAAGAAGAGGAAGAGGAAGAGGAGCAAGAAGAAGAAGAGGAGGAGCAAGAAGAAGAGGAGAAGGAAGAGGAAGAAGAGGAGGAGAAGGAAGAGGGAAGAAGAGGAGGAGGAGGAGCAAGAAGAAGAGGAGGATGAGGAGGAGAAGGAAGAGGAAGAAGAGGAGGAGGGGAAGAGGAAGAAGAGGAGGAGAAGGAAGAGGAGGAGCAAGAAGAAGAGGAGGAGCAAGAAGAGGGAGGAGGAGAAGGAAGAGGAAGAAGAGGAGGAGAAGGAAGAGGAAGAAGAGGAGGAGGAGAAGGAAGAGGAAGAAGAGGAGGAGGAGGAGGAAGAGGTGACGGCGGCTGCAGTGTGGTGGTGAAAGACCAAATGTAGAAAGCGACAGGAAAGAGCTATGACACACACACACACACACACACACACACACACACACACACACACACACACACATACATACATATATTGAGGCTTGTGAATCGTAGGGGGTTATTGGAAATGGGCGTACAGTAGTTCCGTGGGCGTAGGTGGAGGCATAGTAGGTGTAGATGGGTGGTATTGTGGGTGATAGGGAATGGGCGTGCGGGTGTAATGGGAGAATCGTGGGTGTGAGTGTGGGTAGTGTGGGCGTGGGTTGGTAGGCGATTTTTTTTTGTAAGTGGAGGAAATTACAATAATTTTTCCTCCATCTCCCTCCACTTCCTCCTTCATCTACTCTTCCTCTACCTCTAAATCATTCTCCTCTACCTCCACCTCCTCCTCCTCCTCCACCAACTTTCTCCCACACAGTCGCGCCCTCCCTCACTCCCCTGACTTCTTTCACGTCTCACTGTCTTCACTACCGTGCTTTGTCTTCATATGATTTCTTTCACTTCTATCATGCCTTCCTTCACCCTTCAATCCTGCCTTCCTTCACTCTTCAATCCTGCCTTCCTTCACTCTTCAATCCTGCCTTCCTTCACTCTTCAATCCTGCCTTCCTTCACTCTTCAATCCTGCCTTCCTTCACTCTTCAATCCTGCCTTCCTTCCCTCCCCATACCTCCCTCCTCCTCTCTTCCTTCCCATACTTCCCTCCCTCCCTCCTTCTTTACTTTCCTCCCCACACCCCCTTCTTTCCCTCTCCTGTCCCAGGCTACCTTCCATCTCCTAACATTTCTCCCATCTCCTGCCTGACTGTTTCATTCTTCCCTCCTCTCCCCTTACACGACAATTTACACGATCCAACAAACCAGCTCTCCATCCTTGGTCACTTGATATTTACTGCACCATCCTCTCCCCTCCCCCTTTCTCTCCTCACCGCCAACCCATTTCCTCCCATAACCATCACTATCTAGGCCTCACCCAGCAGCGTCGCCTACAGGGAGAGAGAGAGAGAGAGAGGGAGGGAGAGGCTAAGGGTGTTCTCAGAAAGTAAAGATGACACTCACCTCTACCACATGGACGCCACATACGCCGAGGGTGTGGTGAATCATATGTGTTGTCATCTCCTCTTACTACATCCTCTCTTCCTCCTCTTTTCTTCTTCTTCCCATTCTATTCCTCCACTTCCACGACCTCCTCCACACCCTTTTCCTTCTTCTACTCCTTATTCTACTCCTTCACCTCCTCGTGTGTGTGTGTGTGTGTAACGTGACAATAAATAAGAAAAAGTATAAACATGACCTTTGGAGAGTGGGTGGTGGGCGGCGATGAGTGGTGGTTTGAGGGCGGTGGGTGGTGTGATTCTGATAGTAGTGTGGGTGGGTGGGTAGGTGGCGATGGGTGTTGTGATGGTAGTGTGTGTGTGTGTGTGGTCGGCAGTAGTAGTGGTGGTGGTGGTAGAACAACCTAACCTAACCACACCACCTGACATACGCAAACCTCGCCAGCTGCCGTCTCATTGTCACCGCCAAGATAATCTGTCCCAGTTATCACCACCTTTTATCCCAGAATAACCAGCTGTTGTCCTAGTATTACCAGCTGTCTTTGCACCATTCAGCCACCATCTCTGAGGTCTTACTTATCGTGGGCAGGCGTGGGCGGGCGGGCGGCGGTCCAGAGGCTCGAGTGCGTCATTGCCTATCAACACATTTGTTGGCACACATGCAAGGTGGGGGGGGGGTGGGTGGAGGGGTGGAGGGGTGGTGGTGGTGGTGTGGGTGGAGGGGGGGGTGGTGGTGGTGGTGATGTGGGTGGGAGGGGGGGGTGGGTGGTGGTGGGATGTGGGGTGGAGGAGAGGAGGATGTTGGTGGTAGGAGAGTGTGATAGTAGGTGAAGAGGTGTAACGGGGTGGGGAAGGAAGTAAGGATGGGGTGTGTAGGGAGGATGAAGGAGGGGAGAGAAGGAAGGTGTTAGAAAGGTGGGGGAGGGAAGGGAAGGAAGGAAGGAGTGGGAAGATGTCAACGGTGGTTTTACATTGTTTTATCACAGTAAAATTTTGTTAATGTTATCTAAGGTGGGTGAGGGAAGGGTGTGGAGGTGAGGGAGGGAGGGGTGAGGGGAGGTGTGGAGGGGTGGAGGGGAGGTGTGGGAGGGGGTGAGGGAAGGTGTGGAGGGGTGAGGAGGGTGTGGAGGGGTGGGAGGTGTGGAGGGTGGGAGAAGTGGTGAGGCAGAGGGGAGGTGGGAGGGGTGAGGGGAGGGGTGGGAGGGGTGAGGGGAGGGTGGAGGGGTGAGGAAGGTGTGGGGAGGGGTGAGGGGAGGGTGTGGGAGGGGTGAGGGAAGGTGTGGAGGAGTGAGCGGAGGTGTGGAGGGGTGAGGGAAGACTCTTGAGAGGATAGAGAAGCTGTGGAGGGGCGAGAGGAGAGAGAGAGGGGGGTGAGATGAAAGTGTGGAGGGGTGATGGAGAAGAGAGAGGTAAGGAGGTAAGGAGGTGGGGGGGGGGTGAAGTCCTTGGTTTTATAAAGTAAACTGTAATTGTCGTGGAGGAGGAGGAGGGGGGGGAGAGTGAGACTTGTCATACCCGTCCTCAAGGCTATGTGTCTGTCTGTCTGTGTGTTTATGTCTATCTATCTTTCGTGTCTTTGTCTATGTCTGTTGTATTGTGTTAATGTATATAGATCATTGTTTCAACTATTACATAACCCGTTATTAATATCTCTCTCTCTCTCTCTTTTAATTACAGGTGGTGACCATGGCACTATAAGCCTCCTCCCCCTCAGGTCGACCCAACCCCGGACCAGGTAAGATGTGGTGATATTAATAACATCCAAAACATTACATTAACTTGAACATAAACATCATGGAGGTGTGTTTGGTGATAAAGAGCAGGATGTTAAATGTCTTCGTGTGTTTATGGTAACTTATTAAATGTTGTTGGTAATAGATGGGAAGTGATGTTTTGGATGGTGTCGCAGTTATAATGGGTGTTTATGGTGTTATAATGGTTGTTTATGGTGTTATGATGGGTGTTTATGGTGTTATAATGGGTGTTTATGGTGTTATGATGGGTGTTTATGGTGTTATGATGGGTGTTTATGGTGTTATAATGGTTGTTTATGGTGTTATGATGGGTGTTTATGGTGTTATAATGGGTGTTTATGGTGTTATGATGGGTGTTTATGGTGTTATGATGGGTGTTTATGGTGTTATAATGGGCTTTGTGGTGTTATTTAACCATTAAGACTGGGTTTGAGGGGGATTGGATTAGTATGGCTTTGGTGTCCATTGGAAGAGTGGGGAAGAAGGAGAGGGAGTTGGGAGTGGCAGAGGAGGAGGAGGAGGAGGAAGAGGAGTAGGGAGTGGCAGAGGAGGAGGAAGAGTTGGGAGTGGGCAGGAGGAGGAAGAGTTGGGAGTGGTAGAGGAGGAAGAGGAGGAGGGAGGGTAGAGAGAGGAGGAAGAGGAGTAGGGTGGTAGAGGAGGTGGGAAGAGTTGGCAGAGGAGGAGGAAGAGTTGGGAGTGGTAGAGGAGGAGGAGGAGGAAGAGGGAGTAGGGGTGGCAGAGGAGGAGGAGAGTTGGGAGTGGTACAGGAGGAGGAAGGTGGTGGTAAGGAGGAGGGAGGAGGAAGAGGGTAGGGAGTGGCAGAGGAGGAGGAAGAGGAGTAGGGAGTGGTAGAGGAGGAGGAAGGTTAGGGAGAGGAGGAGGGAGGAGGAGAGTTGGGAGTGGTAGAGGAGGAGGAAGAAGAGTTGGGAGTGGCAGAGGAGGAGGAGGAAGAGTTGGGAGTGGTACAGGAGGAGGAAGAGTTGGGAGTGGTAGAGGAAGGGATACTGAGCCCTGGGACTGGCAAAGGAAGAGGGGGAGGAAGGGTTAAGGGCTTGGAGGGGGAGGAAGAGGAGGAGGAAGAGGTGGTGGTGGTGGTGGTTGTTGTTGTAATGGAATACGAAGAGGTACTGAACCTTTGCTTCACCCTTGGCTAAGAGGAGGAGGAAGAGGTGGAAGAGTTAGGAGTGGTACTGGTGGAGGAGGAGGTGCGGGTGGTTGGTGGAGTTAGGAGTGGTACTGGTGGAGGAGGAGGTGCGGGTGGTTGTACTGAAGGAGGGTCGAGGGAGGAAGGGTACTGCTGGACCCCCTCGCTGCACCCCATAGCTATAGCCACACCTCATTCCGGGCCGCCCAGAAGGTAGGGTCAGCCCGCCCCTTACGCGCTAACCTCAGAGGCTGTCCCTACACCCCTCTTAACCCTCCCTACACCCTCCATACACCCCATTTCCCTCCCTACACTCCACACACCAAATATTCTCATAAAACACCAATGGGTTAAGTTTCCCGCCCCCCATAAAAACGGTTTAGGTATTAGTTGTGGTGATTCATATTGTACACAGTCACTGGTACACAAGGGGTGGTAGTGTGGGTACTGTACACAAGGGGTGGTAGTGTGGGTACTGTACACAAGGGGTGGTAGTGTGGGTACTGTACACAAGGGGTGGTAGTGTGGGTACTGTACACAAGGGGTGGTAGTTTGGGTACTGTACACAAGGGGTGGTAGTGTGGGTACTGTACACAAGGGGTGGTAGTGTGGGTACTGTACACAAGGGGTGGTAGGGGTGGTAGTTTGGGTACTGTACACAAGGGGTGGTAGTGTGGGTACTGTACACAAGGGGTGGTAGTTTGGGTACTGTACACAAGGGGTGGTAGTTTGGGTACTGTACACAAGGGGTGGTAGTTTGGGTACTGTACACAAGGGGTGGTAGTGTGGGTACTGTACACAAGGGGTGGTAGTTTGGGTACTCATCCAGTTTCATCCGTGTGTGTGGTGACGCCGGCCTGGAACACAAAGACACGCCACCACCACACACCGTTGCTTGTTTGTTGTCTAGCGGCTGGTTAACCGGACAAAAGTAGCCACCACCACTACTACTATCATCACTACTAGCAGTACTATCACTACTACCATTAACATTATTACAATTACTACCACCACCACCATCACCATTACTGCTATTACTACCATCACCACGTCTGCCCTTACCACTACCACCCCTCACCTCGCCCCCTCCAGAAACCGTATATGAAAGTGGGGTATCCTTGTCCCATCTGCTTCCTCTGTGTGTACATTGGTCAGCGACAGTGTCTTCGTCCACACACACACACACACACACACACACACACAGCTGTTTAAGGGCGCCGTTACTCTTGTAGAATTCCAAGATTTAATGGGTGAATTATGTGGTGTTGAGTGTTACAGTGTAGTGGTAGCCGCTGGAGGGGTAAGGATGGAGGAGGAGGGAGGAGATGGTCAAGGGAGAGAGGGAGGGAGGGTGGGTGGGTGGGTGGGGGTGACGGTGTGGTAGGAGCTTGGCCAGGGCGGGGGTCAACCTCTGGCTGGGCCTTTCCTCCCAACTCAGCACCACCTCCTTGTGATATATTCTCCTCCACTACTCCTCCAGTAGTTGTCCTTCGGGATCTTTAACTCGGTGTAGTGTTAGAGATGTCAGGGGAGGGCGGTAGGAAGTCCCCGGGTTGTGAGGGAGAGGCCTAGGAGACGGGTTTGTTACTGCAGTGTCGGGGGCCGGCCACCAACGGCTGGAACTGTAGCTTGGATAGGGCGTCAGCCGGGACTGCCACCTCGTCCGCCACCACCTACTATTATATATCTCTCTCTCCCGCGCCGCCTCACCACACCACCCCGTACTGCAAACTGGAGTCGGGTGTAGGGATGGTTAGTGGATGTGGTTAGATGTAATAGAGAGAGAAGCACAGGTAAATGGTTGATAAAAATGATGAAAAGGGTGCGGATGGGCAGTGCTGGTACCGTACTCTCGCTCTCACCTCCCTGCCCTCCGCCTGGCACCACCCGCGGAGCTGTACGCCGCGATCACCACACCACCCGCCTCCCAACACCTAACTCCCTCCCTCCCTACCCTCCTTGTCTCCCCTCCATCTCCACCCTCCCCTTTCCCCTCCACCCCCTCCACCACCCCCTCCACCGTCCTTCCTCTTCCCCAACCACACTCGCTCAAGACCAAACTTACCACAAGCCCAACGGTGAGATGACACACATACTGTACACACACACACACACACACACACACACACACACACACACACACACACACACACACTCCCGGGGATAATATGTGCACTCAAACTCACACCTTTTATCTCCTTTCTCTTTGACATATATTGTTGTAGTGGCTATAGGGGGGGGATGTCTCGAGATACTGAGGGCTAGTAGTTGTAGTAATAGTAATAGTAGTAGTAATAGTAGTAGTAAGTGAATGCATGTAGCTAATTACGTTCTTATAATATTTGGAACGTAGTTTTTTTCCCGTTCTGCAAAAGTCAGAGTGTGAGTTTGTTTGGTCGTGCACACATCTCCAGTTACGAGAGAGAGAGAGAGAGAGAGAGAGAGAGAGAGAGAGAGAGAGAGAGAGAGAGATTCCAGTGAAGCGAACTTTTCAGAATTCTGGTTTGTCAAGTGATAGGTTATGTGGATTAGCAAGGAGGAAGAAGAAGAGGAAGAATAGGAGGAGGAGGAGGAAGAAGAGGTAAGAGGAGGAGGTAGGGTTGTGGATAGGGAAATTTGACGTCGTGGTGTTGTGGTATTGGAGAGAGAGAGAGAGAGAGAGAGAGAGAGAGAGCTTTCATTGTAGTCGGACACTATCCCAATGTTATTTTTATCAGTATTATGTCTTTTGTCCTCTTGATTTCGACGACTTAATCTCCTGAGTACGACTTAACCCCTTGAATACGACGACTTGACCCTTGAGTACGATAACTTGACCCTTGAGTACTGTGCATTTACGGGGAAAAGTCATTGTCTACAAAGGGTTAAGATATCGTACTCAAGAGTTAAGTCATCGTACTCAAGGGGTAGTTACCTTACTCTGGAGATTAAGCCATCGGACTCGAGAGGTTAAGTACAGTCCCGTTAGCCATTACATAACAGAACACTGGTTGGCATCGTCACTCACGCCTCAGTCTCGGCTGCCAGGTGGAAATTACAGGTAATATATCTAAATGTAAAGCCATTTATTTATACTCGTCAGGTTAGCCAATCAAAAGACAGTTTTTATATCGCCAAGTAAACTGATTGGACGTCAGATAGTGATTTAAGATCGCTGGCGAATTACGAAAGTGCTCTAACCCCTAACCCCCCCCCCCCATCCCCCTCACTCCCCCTCCCCCCATGACGAATTGGCGAGAGCGTTACAGGTCACGGATTGGCGATTGTCTTAGTTCCCGAGTTGGCGAATTGGCGATCGTATACCTAACTACCTTCAAGTTTGTTATGGCGATAGTGTTGACGTATGTGGGAGGGGCGAAGTGGGGTGAGGCTGGGCTGGGGAGGAATGATGCTGGGGTGGAGTGAGACTGGTGGGGGTAAGGCTGTGCTGGGGTGAGGTGAGGCTGTGCTGGGGAGGTGTAAGGCTCTACTAGGGGTGAGGCTGGGCTGGGATGGGGTGGAGTGGTGTTGAGATGCGGTGATGCTATGCTGGGGAAGAGTGGTGAGGCTGGGCTGAGGTGCGGTTACGGCGTACGGTAATGGAGTGACGGGAGGCGATGCTTGGCTAAGTGGTCTCGTTCCCACGCACAGATTGTTACAAGTCTTCCACAGTCACCCCTCCTCCTACCTCCTCTCCCTCCTCTTCCTCCGTCCTCCCCCTCCTCCTCCTCCTCTCCCTCCTCCTCCCTCCTCTTCCTCCGTCCTCCCCCTCCTCCTCCACTCCTTTTTATTCTCCTCTTGCTTCCTGTCCTATCATTTGTCTCCTCCTCCTCCTCTCTGATTCCCACGGCATCATTT